GGATCATTTCTGTTTAAACTATTCAAAACAACTGTTTGTATAACCTGCTTTTAAAAACTTCCAAGGATCAAGATTCTCTCGGCAAACTGTTGCCATGCTTAGCCATTAGGATGGTCATTGGTCCCGTTTTATACTGGACCATCCTATTTTTAAACCCTTTATCCCTGTCCATTTCTGAATAAGGAATGGATTGCAACAAGTCCTGTTTTTCAGTTCATTACTGGTGTGGCAAGGGCACCTTCCAGGGCCAATACTAGTATGGCCCGCCTTTGTCTCTGGGCAAACTGCCTGGCTTGTTGATGAATGATTGGGATGTTTAATAGGCAGAAGGCTGCCCTTCATGCTCCCAGATAACCGTGTTCAATAATAACACATACTTACCATCCCTACACATGTCCCATGCCTTGCTGATGCCACACAGTGTGTTCCATCTCCGGTTCAAAGCCAGGTCCAACTGGACACATGCTTGTGTCTCTCTCATGCTGCCTTCTCAAACCACACACATACCACCTCCCCCTCACAAGGGTATCTCACTCTCCGCCCCTCTATCACAAGGGCCTCTCACATACTGCCTACTCAGGCCACATTCGCTCCACCCTACTCCAGAGAGATCCTCAGGCTTTTCTCTTCACCCTTCAGTCAGCCCTGGCATGATCTTTTGTGCCACTTCGGTGACCCTCACCCGAACGGGACTGAGCAATTGCTCAACTATGGGCCGACTTTGCCCCTGGCCCCTCACTGGACCACTATGCCCCTCCCTTGGGTCACAACTCTGCCCCCTACTCTCTGGGACCTGGGGTCTTCCACCCTGACAGGTTCAGGTGCTTCTCTCACTTAAGCATGTCTGACCTTCACTCCACATTCTCCCAGGGCTGGGGTCTTACACCCCTAGGGCTCAGGTGCTGCTCACTCAACATGCCTGGCCCTCACTCCAGGGTCCAACACCCCATAGGGCTCAGGTGCAGATATTTTGCATGCCTGGCTCCCTTCAAACCTCCTAATAACCCACCCAAAGGTGGGGGCAGGGTGTTATTCAGGCACCCTGACCCAACCTTCACCAGGGAGGTGAGCAGTCCTGGTATTTGTGTGGGGCTGCTGCACCACTGGCAGTCCCACCAGGCCTCCCTATCTCAGCCGGGTTTGGTTTTAGGTCATGCCCAGGACCAATCCCCATAGCCTCACCCTTACCTCTGAGATATTTCTGGAGCAAGAGCTCCACCAGGCAATGTTACTCCCCATCCAGCTGAACACAAACTGCTCTGCTTTTAAAACATAGCTATCAAAAATGGCAGCTCTTGCAAATGGCCACTATCATCAGCCACCTGGCAGCTCCCTGCTCCAGCCCTTAAAGTGACAGACACCCAAGTGGAAATACTGTCAATCATTTGTCCTTGCAATTCTGTTGTCTGTGCCTAGAGTTAGGGTGGTGCACAGCCAGGAGGAGCTGGGTTCTGAGCCAGGGAGGGAGAGCCTTTTAGGGTTGCTCCGGCCCTTGCTGCTTATTGGCCGAGGAGGCAGTGACCCCACCCCTCACCTCTGATTGAGCAAGGGGACCAGTGGTTCCACCCCTAACCAAGGGTATGTCTTGTATTCTGGGGATGTGTTAGTGGCCACTCTGTTAGCCATCCTCTTCCTCTTAGGGAACCTAAATTACCTGATTGCAATTTAAGACTTTCTCCATGCCCTGTTCCCTGCAGTCACCATTTCTTTATAACTACCCTTTTGATACTTGACTGCCCCTCAGCCTTCTCTTCCCTGACTAAATAATCCCAGTTCTTTAAACCTTTATTCATGAGTCAGGTTACCTTGGCTTCTAATAACTTTTTTTGCTTTCTGTTAACCTTTTTTCTAATTTGTCCACCTACTTTTTGACATGCAAGTGAAGTTCCTATTTGTACAGTTAAATAAGCTACTGGCTTTTTTTTTGCAGCAAGAGCACACCGTTTGCTCTTATTCAGTTTATGGCTCAGTATAACCCCCAAGCCCTTTTCTGCAGTACTGCAGCCTAGCCAGTCATTTCCCAATTTGTTGAACTGACTGCCAGTGCACTATTAGCAGGAGTTCCTGCTGCCATGATTGTGGCTGGTAATGAACAAAATGAACAACTCCTATTACTATTACTACAGGAACAACAATCAAATAAAGGCACAGTAGTGGTGTGAGACTGGTGAACAAATGCACATAGCTGTTAGAAATAGTTATATAACAGTTTTCTTTCACATGTTTAAAGCTGTCAGATGTACAGCTTCAACTATCAAAGATACAGATGTATAGCACTCATATAACTTTTAGAGCCACGATCTTCACACACTAACCACAACAGAGAAAAAGGAAATGCATTTTCAGAGTAATTTTAATTTTTTTTACTTGTAATTGTCTATTATTCTATACAAGTTCATTCTGTATCATTTTATTTTTCAGTATGTTAAGATAGTTCTAAAAGGAGATCTTGTAAAAAAGAATGTTTTTTTTCTTTGTAATCCAGGCAAATTAAAAATATCTGCTTTTCTCCCAGCTGTTAAAAAGTATCTCTCTGAAATATGGATTATCTCCCATACATATTTCTATGTTTCAGTCCAAATCACTGACTTTTGTCACAAGTTTTTTTTATAGAAAGGAAAATTTTGTTAATACTGTTGGTAAATTTAATTATTTTTGTTCCAAATGTCTTGTTATTCAAAGTGACCAAACAAGAAAAAAGAAAAATATCACCAAAACAGAGAGAAAACCTGAAAAATTTCAGCCTCAGGACAAAAAAAGTTTTAGAAAATTCAATCTGCTGAAAATGAACCTTTAGAACGGAAAGATTTGGAGGGCCCTAGCTGCAGCTTTCATTACCCATGTCAGCTCTAGCTAAGAATATATTTGTCCAAACAAATAATTGTATTATTCACAATAGTCTGGTAAACTGAAAAAAAATGAAATGTTGTTATTTGTTTTTCATACCGTAACCATGTCTCAGTGCTCAGAGGCCATTTTGTTGATGGAACGTTAACTATGATAACTCACATATAGGTCATGGTGGTTTTCTCTTTATTTTCCCATTTAACAGAACATATCATTATAGATATTACAAATATGCAACAATTGGTATGTGCCCAAGGGGACCGCTCAGGTAAATTGGAGAATGAACAGGAGTGATTCCCATAGTCCCAATAAGCCTCCTATATTGCCAGAATCTGGAAATACATCAAATTTTGTGTGAAAACCTAATATAAATGAGAATTCCATACAGACAATTAGCTAAACTTCTGGATTAGCATGTTAGGATACTTAACCGAAGATAACTTCCAAAGCTTTAAGGATTCTTTTTTTTTTTACGATGTGTGCTATGGGGGTATTTAGCGGCCTAAATTGAATTGTGGTGGTATTGTCCAGTTTGTAGTGGACCAGTAACCTGGGTTCAGTTAGTCTTTCTGTGACAAAGCTATAGTGCTATTTCTATATAGCAACTATAAATAGGCTGCATTTATAGCTTACATTGATCTGAAAATGATCCGTCTTGTGTAAGTGTATTTAAAGGGATGATTTCCTGATTATGCAATAGTATGTGATCAATAAGAGGATTTACTGTGTAGTCATTTGGCAAAGACTACAGATGCTTAATATAACAATAGTGAGTTTTCAGATCCCTAGAAGCCAGGTGATGGATTGCATGTCCTGTGTTCTTGTCTCAGAAGAGGGAGCAAGGGATAGGCAATAATTGAATGAATCAGAGCAGATGAAATCAGATGAAACCTGCTCACAGATGCACTGCAAGTTTGTTTCTCAGTCTAACAGGCATGTCCAATGGCAAAGCCCTGGTAATCAGATGCAAGTGAAAAAAACCTCAATTTATTTCTTTTTAAATGAGAGAGAACAATCAGGGCACAGCCCATTATTTCTTAGTTTGCTTCTTATTGAAAAACTTTGGGCTTCAAAAGCAGTCATGAAAATAATTAGCACATACGTTATGTAGAGAGCTGCTACAGAAAACCATTTTGAGTAAGTTTCCAATCAGTATTTCCTACCAAATACCATTTGTGTGACTACTTATTTTCTCTTTAATTTGTAATTCTTTTCTTCTGCTTCCAAATTGCTCAGAGCAATCTATTGCCAAATCAGCCCGGCAGCCATCAAAGATATTTGCTTCCCCTCCTGAAACCCACAATCAGGCACTTGGCATGAGCAGCTGTGGCATACCAAGTTAATTAGTAATAACAGACATGTAATTTTTACAGCCACAATAAACAGATATCTGAATACTGAATCCAGGAAAATGACAAGATATATTTGTACCACTCGATGCGTTTTCTGTCTTATTTCCCTATTGCTCCTTGTTTTACTGTAGTCTGCTTTCTCTTGCGATCTGCTTTCTTATACATTGTCTATCCTTGCAATGATATACGGAGCTTTCCAGGAATTTACATGCGGAACTGCTTGATAGTTCTGAAATTGCTTTTAAGGAGCCTGTACCACTGGTGTTAATGAGAGTTTGGCCATTGGTTTCAAAGGGAGCAATATCAGGGTTTTTTTATTGTTCCTCATGGTCATGACTAGACTTTCACTTGGCTGCTTATGGAGGAGGTTTCACAATATAATCTGAGAGTACAAGGTTCAGAGAAATATGGCATTTTTCACATCAAACACAGATTTCCAGAATGGTGCCATGCAATGCTCTGGCAATGTAAACGGTTTCAAGTTGTTGGCACAGAGTCATTCCTATCATTCCCCAGATATTTGGCAGTGTAAGTCCACGTTTCAATGCTCCGAACAAGGGATACTTACATTTTTGTTACTTACCCCTACTTGTGTTAATACATGCATTAAATTATTGACATGCATAAGTTTTTCCTTTTTCATTTGTGGGGATTGTAAGAGCTTATGAATGGTGAGGAACTGACAGTCCCAAAGTTCTTAAGAACTTAAAATCTTCGTTTTGGTATTGAAAAAGCCAGGAAAGCTGAAGGTAGTTGTAATGTATATCTCTCCTTTTACCTATCTTTTTTATATCCATTTAGACCCCAGCATGAATCAGTTCCATGTCCACTGGTTACGGGAATCCTGTGAACACAATGAAACTAAAGGACTTGAAAAAGTAACTGATTTGACCTACGTAAGTTGCTCTTACTTTTACTTTTGCTAAGTCTGAGTGGATCCTAATAATCAAGCTGGGAGGACGGATGAGGGAAGTGATGCTGTAATTATAAGTACAACCTATTTTTCACTAATCAGATGCATTAGGAATGGGGGGGAAGGGGTTAATCTGTATTTATGTTTGTCAGTTTAAATATTAATGAATGAGAGTTCAAAATAAATTCCTGCATTCAAATACTTTAGATGAGATCTAGTTACTAGAACAAAGCAAACTTGTTTGTACACTGTTATGTTTGTGCAACATCTAGAACCATGGGTACTTGATCTATAATTAGGACCCCAGAGCACCACTACAATGCAAATACCAAACAATAATTGTAATTAATAAACTAGGTTTATTTCCACACATGAGAAGAATCCACACAGATTCTGCCTTGTTAGAAAGTAAGAAAAGGGTGACAAATGCAAGCATTTAATTCAGGAAAGTGTACTGACATTACAGCGATGGGTATAGTGTTAAGAACCTGACAAGTAGAGAAATGTTACATAAATACACATTTTATCTCAAGTATATATTTACAGTGTCTCTGCCTATTGAACTAATAGTCTCAGTCAAGTAACATGCGATCCAATATTAGTGATTGATATTAGTGAACCATAATCAATGAATAATTTAAAAAGTATGAAAAAAGATGATCAGCCTTCCTTTTTAACATGCCATGTGATAAAAGATCAACTTAAGGAAGTTAATGGGAATTATTGAAATGAAATAGTTTTTCACAAAGCAGGCTGTTAGCCTGTCATTTTACTGTTACAAGAGGTCAGAGTGCTGTAGGCAGATTAAAAAATATAATAGATAAGTTTATGATTGGTGCATAAGTTTTATTCACACTTATGTAAGAGCGAACTAATATTATTAAATAATCCTTTTGCCACTAGAGGTCAGGAAAGAATTTTCATACAACTGGCCACGTGCATTGTAGATGTCTTTGTTTTTTGTTTTTAATTGTTTCGATTTTATTTTCTTGGAAATCCTTTTTACAATAATTGGTCTTTTCTAATTGGTACATACTGGGCATGTCTACTCAAGATGCTATTGCACAGTACTACTGCTCATTGCTACTGCACGGTGGCATTGGCGGACACTAATTGTGATGTGACACCAGTTACCGTTCAGTCATTTTGTACTTGGTTATGCAAGTACTAAATGACTGCACAGTAACAACTGTGCAGTCCACTGCTTGTGTAGACATGGCCACTGTGTCTCTTTGTAAGAACCATTCATTGCTTTGTGGTGATGATGAAGATGATGATGTTGATTCTAAAACAGTTCAGAAACTGTCTTCAGTTAGCACATGGCTAAAAAGTCCTGATCCTAAAACTCTTTAGGATAGATCCAGTAAGGAAAGTATCCTTACACATATTGGTGTATTCTACTACTCAAGTACTTTATATGCCCATTCAGAGAAGATTAATTGAGCTTGTCTTTAAAAATCTTACAACCTTTTAAAACAATGAGCAAAAATGCCAGATGTTCTTAAGTGTCTTGAAGAGCTTAAAGTCATTGGGACTTGAGATCCTAGGTCTCTAAAGTACTTTCTGAAAATTTTATTCAGATCCATAGTCCAAAACTTTCAGGCTGAGATTTTCAAAACAGCCTATGAAAATATTAAGCGTCTAAAATGTCACTTTCAAGAAAGAATGTGTGAAAACTCTTGATGAGTTGTTACACATAATTCTGCTTTGTTGATCCTTTCTTCCTTATAGAGTAGGGGTCAGCAACCTATAGCCCTCAGATTTAATCCAGCCCATAGGTGCAAAACCATTGGATCTAGCCTCTGGACTCAGGGCTTCAGTGACAATTGGTTGTAGGGGGCTTCATCTGTTGACACTAGATTTGGACCCAGCACCTATACCTTTGTTCTGGGTGGGCACAACCCTCAGACTGACCACAACACCTGCCAGTTGATAATAGGAGAATTTATTGATACAGAGTAAGAACAAAAAAAGCAACAATACAAACAATCAAACATTTCTTTATCTACCAATCCTAGGGTTGTCATCAGAGTCAAAGTACATCTCAGGATGCAAGCTACACTCTGAGGCTTTCTCTCTTAGGTGTCAGCAGTTTGGAGGTGGGATGCTGAGGCCCACAGCCCCCCTCCAGTGGTGTGCATGAGACAGGTTACTGGTATATCTTCGGTCCATGGTGGCCTCAGGGACCCTTCATGGGGGACAGGATTGGGGATGGGGACCCCTGTCAGGGAGCAAAATGGGGAGGGATGGGACAAAAAGAGGGACAAGAAAGAACAGGGAATGACAGGAGGAACGAGAAGGGCCCTTTGTCCTGCTCTCAAGTCTCAAGTCTCTGCTTTTGTATTCTTCTTCCCCCTTGATGACTTCTGATGATTCTTCATCCGTGGCTATCTCTGGTTGGCCATCTCTCTGTGGTCACACATCCACGTAGCCTCCCAAACATTCTCCTAGTTTGGTCTGTTCCCCCAAAACTGGGATTTAGGCCTCCCTGCTGTCTGAATCCTTGTTGCTGGTGTCACTTATCTTGTCTTATGAGACAGTATAATACATACTTCCTTTGCTTCCCAGGCTGTTTCCTAGACTATGTGTCCTTGTTGTGCTAGACAGCCCGTCTACTTTCAGGGCCATGAGAAGCTGTGTGTGCATCTCCCAAGGTCTTTAGAAATCCATTTAACCCCTGCTGCCCATCTTGACACCTTATAATACATATATCTGTACCTATAAGCCTATTTCCCCCAAATACAGGCCTTTAAATACCATTTCTAAGTCAACACATGTCTTCATGTTTTCCCCATTATATTGAGGGAACAAGTGCCAGCTGTGGGCACTTCCCCTGTGTGCTATAGGAACAAACAGCAGAGGCAGCAGTGGTGGCTGGACCCAACACCTGCTGCTCTGCCTGCGTCTGACTTGGTGTAGGTCATTCTAGTCTTCAGCCAGAAAACATTTCTAACCCTTTTTACAGAGGAATAACAGAAGTGAATGTACTCAAGGAAATGGGTGTATAAGATCTTATTGGAACTTGTATGCATCTTAAAAGTAGTTGTTAAACATGAACTAAGAATGTATTTCAGGGCAGCTTAAATCAGCTTTCTTACTCTGTAAAATTGGATTACTATTTACATCCTCACTCTCCCACTGCCACTGCCATCATAGGCAGGGGACTGTTCCAAGTGATAAAAGAGAGTTACTTTAATACAGCATGACTAAGGTATTGTGGGAAAAAATATCTAATCACCATGATCATATTATCTGATTATAATTAATCATAATTATATGATTGTATTTGTTTGTTCTCTGAATAAAAGCTGCATTTGCACGTGACAAGCATATCAGAAAAAAACATTCTGACAACCATATTTTTAAAAGAGAGTTGTTTGCAACATATTCTGTCTTTCTTGGTCTAGGAAAACTACATAATTCTTAAGGACCTGTCATTTTTATGCAAATACAAAGTGACTGTTCAGCCCACAAAATCTAAAGGCCGTTTCAAAGCTGAAAGTATTTTCTTTACCACGCCACCTTGCTCTGTTCTTAAGGGAAAAAATCACAAGCACATTAGCTGCCCACCCGAAGGAGGTAAGTTATGATCTAAAGAACTCACCAGCCAGATTCAAGTAAATAAGTGCATAAGTATATCAGGTTAAACCAAGCTGTATAAAACATCTTGAAAGTTTCTAAACAAATAGAATTTACTTGTTTTATGTACCTCACTTAATACCGGCCTAGGGGCTAATCTTTTACAAAAGTCAGAGAGCAGTCATTCTCCACAGAACTACTTTAGCATTATTTGTTTTCCAAATATTTTTGGAATTTTTGCATGTTGCAAATAGAATCAAATTAAATATGTAGGTGTATAGTTTTACAAACCTAACAAGATTACTATAGTACTGCTTCATTATTTAAAGGAGACTGGCAGGGCTTTATTTAAATATATATATCAAGGTACAGTTACGCATTAAATTACTTTATATTTTTAAGCACTAGAATACTTAATTAAAACAACTTGTTAACACGGAAAAATACCTGTTATATATAAATACCTGTTATATAACTACAGAGGGTGGTTATACCACTATAAGATGCCTTATGAACCTTCCCATTATAAGACTAGTGACCTGGTTTGGTTTCAGTTAACTCTCCTCCCAAGCATAAGCCAAAATAAAATCCCACTCGTAGCATAACAGTCTCCATACAGATGATAATACTAGTATACTTGTATCAGTTTAAATTAATATCTTAACTTTTATAAAAACAAACACTCATCTTTCATTTTGACAAGGCCTAAGGTTGTGATCCTGATATGCTAATTCCTTGAACCTTGCACCATATATATCTGTGCAAAGTAAGCATAAAGTCTTCTATTTTGATTCACTTCTCACAGGTATAATTGACTGAATGAATGGCAAGTGAAAAATCAAAATGAATAATTTCTGCCTGAAACCATTTTGCAAAATTTCCTTGAAGCTCTCCTAAACTGAGTTTATACAATTTCCTGTTTAGATGGCCTTTACCAAGGCTAATATCAGACCTGTTGTTGATTTATGTAGAGATTTCTTTCCTCCTCCCTTCCCCGTGCTCTTTTTCCTTCCCCCAAATAGCATGATACTCCAAGTTTTCTGATACTCCAAACCCTGAAGAGAAGATATTGTGGCCTAGAACCCAGTAAAGAAAATACAGTTTCTTATTCTGAGAAGCCCATGTTTTTATACCCTACTGATGACATAGGTCACAACTTATAACATCTCTAACCAAGGGGACCAGGTTTTGAAGTTTGAATTTTGTCCAGGATTTAAATGAAATATGATTTACTCTGATTTTAAAAAAGGCAAAAAGTTGACAGGATCCTATGTAAATTGAATATAGAAATATAAATGGCAAGAATCTGAGTGTGAACTTGGGATCTCCAAATATACTAATACTGTATTACTTCAAATAGTGCTCAAAGTTCGACTTAACTTTTTACCCTGTCTTTTTACAGCACAAATTCTTCCCAAAGTGTTAGCCAAACCGGAGAATCTGTCTGCCTCTTTCATTGTTCAGGAAGGTAACATTACTGGTCACTTTTCCTGGAAGATATCAAAAGCAAATCTTCATCAGCCCATGACAGGGTTTCAGGTCACTTGGGCAGAGGTCACTACAGAAAGCAGACAAAACAGTTTACCCAACAGCATCATTTCACAGTCACAAATATTGCCATCAGTAAGTATGTTTTCCTTTTCAGTGCTTGGGCAATTGTATATACATGCATGGCTTGTATTTTTAATAGGGAATTAGATGCTGTACATTGGGGGTGCCTATACACATGCTTTGGGGTGGGGGTGGTAGGCATTTTAATTAGAGTGGCTACTAACTAACTAACTAACATTCAACAAACTTTAGTTAAAGCAGCCCCACTGACGTTTTGAAACGTGGGATGCTGAATACACAAGAAGCTGCAGCACGCTAGAGCATTTTGATTAGAACACTCCAGCAGACTCAATTAATCTGAGCCTGCTCTGACATGTTCTAATCTGAATGCGTTGGAGCACATGTAAAAGTGCCCTGGGTTCTCCAGCTCTACATGAGTTTATGCAGTAATATATTCATTTTTCTTTTTTGCTGGGGATATATCTAAAGCCCAACTGCTTTTCTTGATAACACAACATATATTATAAAATGACGAATTGTTAAATTAGCAGCTGTATTAGACAGATATCTTCAGAGAGGCAGAGATCATTTCTTCAGTAATAGACATTTGTGATGATCAAGTTGTTCTTTTTCAATGGTAACAAATAATTGCAAAGTCTGTTTATATCCTGAGAGACACTCAGTTGAGCCTTTGGATAGTCATTCTAAGGAAACAAATTTCCCTGTAGTGCAAATTTGTACCATCAGCAGTGACACAGTTTCAATGAGGCATAGGTTTCTGTTTAATCTGTACTCTCTCTCTTTTTGCGCAAGGTGGTCTTGCTGCTTTTAGTTACTCTGTGACATCTATAAGGTAAGAGTTCACTCAAGATGAGATGGCAGCAAGCTCCACTACAGTCAGAAGCACAGGCAGAGAAAACTGTTTAAGCACCCTGAACTTGATGCAAAGACAGTTGGGCTGCATCTAGACGAGTGAACATGTGCTTATTGAGGCATCTCAAAGCAGTCTGAGATGCCACTAGAGACATGCTAGGAACAAAAAAATGTTCTCCATATTGCATGTCTGTAGCACGGACTCTGAGTTTGACACTGGGAAATCCCGGTATAAAAAAATTAATAAAACAGCCAGAAAAAAGCAGCCCAGGGCTTACTTCTGGGGCATGCCCTGAAGCAACTGGAAGCTGGGTCCTGCAAAGACATGCTCTAGCACCCAGCCAGAGCATCTCTATGCCTGTTGTGTGCCTCTTCTGCTCCAGCACACTGCTTCACCATGCTGGAGCAAATAGAAGTGGGGCAAGGCTGGCAGCAGTGGTTCAGACTCAAGCTCTGTCCCCAGTAAGCAGGGATGTGGGGGTGGGTGAGACTATGTAGGGATGGGGAAGTTGTTGGGGTGGGGGGGAATTGTGTGAGAGAGGTGGGTCCCCTGCCCGCACTCTCGCAAGGTGCACACCCCTGCCCCCATAACCCCCGCAGCAGCAGCAGCAGCCATCAGTGGGACATCAGGGCACTCACAGCCCACTTCTGGCAGAGCCGCCCAGTGGCACACAGCACCACCTGACATCCAGGGCCTCCATATGGTGAACAAAGCTGGCCCCAGCCCACTGGCACATGCCTTCAACCAGCACCAGGCCAACTCTTGCTGCTACCCAGGGCTCCCAGCACTGCACGCAGGATATGCATGCCACTGGGCTGGACTGACTACTCCTTCCATGAAGCTGGCCCTACCCAATGGTGCATGCTTCCTATGTGCAGTGCTGGGGATGGCAGCAGGAACTGGCCTGGTCCTGCCCAAAGTCATATACCAGCAGGCTGGGCTGGCTACATGCACCTGGCCAGGTAGCACATGGTTTCTGCATGCAGTGCCTCAGAGGGCAACAGAAGCTAGCCCAGTCCTGTCCAAAGTCACGTACCATCAGGTGGGGCTGACTTTGTGCACCACATAAAGTCCCAGAGTCTCAGGCACTACCGTGCACCATGCAGGGCTCTGCCAACAGCAGGCCACGAGCATGCTGACTGCCCACTACTGCTGCTGCAGGGGAGGGAAGGCTGTGTGCTATGCAGGGGGGTGAGCAGAGGACCCACCACTCCTACACAACCCTCCTCACCCCCACAGAGTCCCCCCACACCCACAACCCCCCCACAATCCACCCACAAACCCCACACCCCCAAAACATCCCCAGAAGCCCCTCACCCACATATACAACCACAAACCCCAAACTCTTCTAGGGGCTTGAGGGGGACATACTTGCCTCCACCACCAGAACCCTCTCCACCGCTTTTTGTTTGGTGGCCTCCAAGTCAAGGGAAAAAAACACCCGTGCCATGAAAGCGGGAGGCCACCATGATCTTGGGGGATCCCACCATGCAAGCCAAGGCCTGCACCCAGGTCTGAAAGTGCAGCTTATGCCACTCAGGCAGTTGGCACTTCACCCCTGCCTGTGGGTGAGTGCTGGAAAGGGGACCCTGCTGCCCGAGCTGGAAAGGCTGGCAGCAGAGCGTCCATGCCCTGTGGCTGTGGGTCACCCCACAGCTGCCTGTACATAGCTGCAGTTCTTCTGCTGGGGAGCTGCCTTGGTGAGGCCAGAGCTAGGGCCAGGAACAGGCTGAGTGAGTGTGCTGGCTGGTGTAGCACACCTAGTCCCCTCAGTGGTCCAGGCTTTGGGGCGGGACTCTTGCCCTTTCCATCCTCAGCTGTGGAGGGGGCTGAAGTGGAGCCCTTCCCACTGCTCTTGCCCTGGGTCCCTGATGGTGGGGGCCCCTCTGGAAGAGGCCTGGCCAGGGGAGACCCCTTGGCCCCACTGGCTCCCTGTTAGAGCCCCCATCTTCCCCCTCAGTGTGGGTTACAGGCTTGTCTGCCACTGGAGGGGGTTGGTTGGACTCTGCCCCCAGAGTGTGTATTGTAGTAACATGTGCCCCTTTGGGGGCCTGGCTGGAATCTGCCCCCACAGTGGGGGCTGCAGGAAGTTTGGGGGGGTGTCTCCCCTCCTCCCCCAGAAGGCTCTTGCTCTGCCATTGCTTCACATAAGGGAGAGGGAAACTAGAAAAGAAAAAACAAAAATCACAACAGGGGTAGTTAATCCAATAGGGGCAGGCTGGGGCTGTGGGGGGAGGGGTTTGAATTTCACTGAGCTACAGCCCCACAGGAAACCAGGTGTTCTATGCCTGGGGAAGGTGGGAGAGGGGGACACATACACAAGGGCTGGGGAGACTCGAGATGGCTTACTCAGCTACACAACAAACACCAAGGCAGGGGAAGTGGATCACAGGACTTCACCACACAAGGGCAAAACGCATAGGGGAGCCTGCTGAGGCAGGTGTAACACATGGCTGGAGTGGTGGAGGAGTTTCATTTGTTGAAGCTCAGTCCAGGAGTCCCTCAGGCCTCCAGCCAGGCACTTTGCAGCAGGGCAGCAGGCAGGAAAACAAGGCACTGGATCAGATGCGGTGAGGCAGCTGTTAGGGAGTGCAGGAGCAAACAGCCAATTAGGGAAGTAATCCAGTGCAAGTGTGGTGCAAGGCAGTGCAAGGTGGTGTGGCGGGGAATCCCTCCCCATCTCCTGAGAGGGGGCAGTGGCAGTACAGGTGTCAGCAGCAGCAGCAGTGGTAGCAAGTGTCCATGTCAGCCATTCAGGGCATGTTTCAGGTAAAGGTAAAAGTGAAGATGAATGCAGGGGGTGGCCTGCAAGGCAGCTGGGGCAGGCAAGGCACCCTT